ACCACCGCCGTCAACGTCCACCACCACCCTTCACCACCACCCTCCACCACCACCCTCCACCACCACCACAATCGTCCATACACCGCCACAGTACACTACCACCATTAATTTATATAGCAGTCTACAGACATTAAAAAACAAACAGTCTTCTTCTTGCAGACCGCAGACCTTCGGTCCACCACTTCTCCTACAGATTTCTACAGTAGTGGTCCGCAGACTGCAGACCTTTTCCTGCAGAAAAAACAAACACCCCCTATGAGTCTGTCTGTGTCTGCTAGAATTCTCCTCCTTTCCTTTACCTAGGTAATTCTTCTCTCTTCTTCTTTTGCATCTCTTCTTATGTGTCTTCTCTGTCTCTTCTTTTCTTCTCTAATTTTTATTTTTTGTTCTTAGAAAAAAATCCCTGCTTTGTGCATTTCTGCTTAATTTCTTTTTTGTACTCAAAGATTTTGTAAACTTAGGTTTTGTTCTTGCATGTAGGAATTGAGAACTGATTTAGTTGAAAGTGTTAGGTTCTGTTTATATCTCTCTACTATGTTCTTATGTCCGCATGTATTACTTAGTTTTTGAACATCTATTTCGTTAAATGAAGGCTGAAAATCCCTAATTTCCAACCATTTGATACGTGTCTTCAATTTTTAATTTTTTTGTTAAAAAATTATACTCTTAATTTTGTTGTTGTGTTAATGGGTTTGTTTAATACAGTGCAAAGATGTTTACTTCTAACACATGTTGAATACCAAAGGTTGGGAAGGATCAAAATCAACAAGTTTAAATAAAATTCAAGACATAGTATATTGATTAGTACAATTTCTACAATACAATATTTTGTTAAAATATATTTAAGCATTTGTGGATACCAAAATCCAGAGAGGTTCTCAAAGAAGAAAAAGACAAAATTAAAGAGTATATTTTAAGACATATAATGTTAGATTCTTTCCCATGAACTCCAAGTTCTCAGAGTTCTAAAGGATACATATGCTATATGTTATCAAAGTATGTTTTCTCTACCACGAGAAAAGGTCCCGTTCTTTAATAATATGATCGCGCTGAGCAGACCAGTTTATGAGGGAATAAAAAGTAAAAAATGTATATACATGTTCCAACTGAAATTCTTGAAATAATTCTACCACTTCTACTAGGAGTAGCCTTTTTAGTAGTAGCTGAACATAAAGTAATGGCTTTGGTGCAACGTGAGCTCTTCTATAGAGAGAGACGTATCACGTAGGTGCTTCGTTTTATACATCACCTAAATTTGTAAATACTTGATTATATTTGATATGATTCTCTTAGACGTTAGTCTCCCTCGTATAATTTGTAGCATTTACATTTCATATAAATCATATTTTACACCTAATGTGATTTCAAAGCATGACTTCAGATCACTCGCACTCAGAAATTACACTTCTAATTACGGATCATTTTTTCAAGTTTAAGAAGAGTAGTATACACGACGTTTTCATTCCCTACATAGCACTGGAACACATCAATCCCTTGCATCTCCTTTTATTTTATTCCATTTCATTTTTCCAAGTTCAGGCACTTTCCCCATTTAGTGTGTTTATTGCTTTGCTATGTATGTATTCTACTTTGCCTGAGTCTTAGATCAGGTTTATTCTTTGCATATTATGTTCTTCCACCCCACCTAGAAAATACATTCAAATGTAACACAACAGCAAATTTGTTAGTTAGGTTATTTTCTTACTCAAATTTAGTTTCGATGGAAATTAGTTCTACCTCTACCCATACAAGAACTGATGATACCCGCCGTGAACAACGAAACTTCAAACGTCGGCTTAAGTATCATGAAAAACGTGAAAAAGAAAACAAAAAGATTTCTATTCCACCTATGTGATGAATTTACCCCCACGTCTTTAACCACTGAAGGTCCTTCATTTATATACTTGTTGATTTATGAATCAATTCTACCTTCTTTTTAACTCTCAAGTACCATTGTTAATCGTTTCTTGTTTTTCCAACTACTCACCGAAAATAACAATCTCTAATGACTCACAATCTTACATATTCCTTACTTATTTCACTTGTACAAAACTTCATTATCTATTCATATTCATAGAATCTATACAATCTCCCCCAAAGTATGTGCATCAGGATTCACCTTTTAATCTAAAAAGAGTTACGGATTGTATATTTTGCAGTGCAAAACGCCTTCAGTTTGAACCCTTGGGATTTTGTTGTTGCCGAGGTGAGGTTGTTCTTTCTTCGACACAGATGCCAAGTGCTTTGAGGGGTGATAATCGAATATCAGACCCCTCTGAACTCTGAGTTCTGAAATGGGCCAACCTGAAAATCGATTATCCCAAGGTGATAATCGACTGTCAGGGGGTGAAGAATTTTGGGTCAGGAACTGTCAGGCTTGATAATCAATTATCAACACTGGGTAGTCGATTATCAGCCAGTTCAGAACTCAAGGATCACCATGCTAAGGAACAAAGCGTTTTTTGGAAGAAAACCAATACGGATTTAAACATACATACATGGGTTGAAACTAAGATTTTGTTCAAACAAATCATTCATATCATCATGTACATCGTAGACACATGTTGTAGGATCATGGCATATCATTGCATAACCGCGTTAAGAGGTCAGGCCTAGTGCGCCTTTTTTGCGGGCCCGTCTAGGAGCCTTCGTGGTCCAACGGGTTTCATCTGGGGGGCTTGTGTACGTACATGGTAACTACGCTTTCAGTTACCACCCACAATTTTTTGTCTCCTTCAGGAGACTAAGGTTTCCTCGGCTCATCACCACGTGGGATGATCACCGAAGGGCAGGGGTCCCTGTGCAGTCTAACTCATGCATCATGAACCATATGACATTGCATCGTTTAGAAAAAAGTGCAACTCTCAATTATCAAATTGTATATGGTATCTCGCACTTTAGTACATGTATGATTATGACTATATCTATGTGAAATGTTACTATGTGTTATACTGTTGGATAACCACTCAGCTTATGCTAAGCATATAGCGTTGTTTTTGCTATACGCAGGTAGGCGTGATGATCATGGAGCCTGACCCGGATGATTGGAAGATCGAGGCAGTGGATAGGCGACGACAGGGATGTGATTATTACTCACCTAATATTATAAACTAGTTTGGGGCTTGAACCCACCGTTGTCGCACTTAATTCATTTTGGACTAAACGTTTGATTTTCCCATGCTTCCGTAACGTAACATTTCATTTATTCGAATACTTAAGGGTTTTAATTTCCCCAACAGTTTTACTTTAATAAATATATCAAGGATTTTCGGTTACAAAAGTAATTCAAGGAGTTCTCTTTCATTTAGATGGTCCTAAAAACCATCTGCGTAACCCCTCCGGTCCGTTGGGCCACGGCGAACCGAGTTCGCGAGACGGAGGGTGTTACAGAGAAGCTAAATGAACGACAAGCATCAAGGATCCTGAAAAAACTTACAAACTCATGATCATGCAAGACACTGAGGTATAAGTCTTTATCAAATACCAATACCCAATTTTAATTCCATAATATATATGCTTATGAATTCAGTATAAAACTTTTGATGACTTGCAGGGACACAAAGTCAAAGGAATGCTTTACAGAAGAGATATCCCCTTTGTTGACCGCCGCCTTCATCTGAACAAAACCTACGTCATATCCAATGCAAGGGTCACTCCTGTTATGGAAAGATTCTCTGTTCCAGATGAACAATACAGATAC